ACTGTGTAGGAACCTGAAGACGGAGATACAGTCCCATCTCCGAAACGTCGTTTTACGTTTTATATTTACTAGACGATGGATAATATCCAAGGAAATTTTTATTCGAATGGTTGTTAAACTCGTTCCAGATTACACGACGAAACATCCCAGAAAACATTCATCTTCACATTACAGCGTGTCTGAAATTGTTGGCTGAGATCGATTGTGGTCTTTTGGGTTGTGAGACTGCGAAGTCTTGTGAAGTTTCGTCGGACCACCCACAAGACGGAGGCGATGGGTTCCTCCGTGTCCCTAGTAACCACGTACAAGATTCAATGGTGTCCCTACGCAGACGTGTTTTTCCTACTTATATTTTATTATTGTTTATTTCTTGGTTTGATAACGTAGCAACTGCTAAGGTTGCAATGCCAGAAGGATGGTTATGAATTCTGAACTGGAAACACCCGGCGTTTGCTAAGGTGGATATAGGAAAATCACGAATATGAGTTTAGTTAACCCGCGTATTAGTCGACTTTTAAATTCAGAACCCAAATGCAGAATTAGAAGTACGATTTCCAACTCTGCGGTCATAAACTACACACACGAGCATGCTGGCCTACATTTAACACCAGCATATTTAAAATTGGGTCAGATTATAAACACACGTAAACAGATACGGCAAGGGTCTCACGGCTTTCAACGGAGATTTTTAGCTTCGTGGGTTACGTAGCGTTGAATGTTAAGTGAGAATTGAATAACAAATTGGGTAATTTTGTGGGTGCGTCCGTGGTCTGTCTGTCGTCTGCCTAGACAGGCTGAAGGAAACATGGCGCTGAGTCGAGATCCAAGCACGTGGTCTCCCAAATATGAAGTGGGAGTTGAAATCACTACACCGTTACTTTCGATGGCTTCTGGGGCGTCCTAGTTCAAATCCCGATGCATGATTTTCTGTAAGATTTGAGATTTTCACAGCGGGGAGTATGAAGATTTCTGTCTTCTGGGTTGTTGCGCTGTGTAGTCTGATAGATGTTTACCGACGTTTCAGAGGTCATACTGCCTCCATCATCAGAGTATGAAGATTTCTGTCTTCTGGGTTGTTGCGCTGTGTAGTCTGATAGATGTTTACCGACGTTTCAGAGGTCATACTGCCTCCGTCATCAGAGTATGAAGATTTCTGTCTTCTGGGTTGTTGCGCTGTGTAGTCTGATAGATGTTTACCGACGTTTCAGAGGTCATACTGCCTCCGTCATCAGAGTATGAAGATTTCTGTCTTCTGGGTTGTTGCGCTGTGTAGTCTGATAGATGTTTACCGACGTTTCAGAGGTCATACTGCCTCCGTCATCAGAGTATGAAGATTTCTATCTCCTGGGTTGTTGCGCTGTGTAGTCTGGTCGATGTTAACCAACGTTTCAGAGGTCATACTGCCTCCGTCATCAGGGCGCCCTGATGACGGAGGCAGTATGACCCTTGAAACGTTAATTAACATCAACGAGACTACACAGCGCAACAACCCAGAAGACAGAAATCTTCATTATATTCTGTCCTGACACGGAGAATTTCAGAAGTAAGATAGAATTCTGTGACTCGGTTGTCATGGTCTGTCAATTCAGAGCGTACGATTATCTTAATTGCCTTCTCCCGCTCTCACGTACGAAGAGACAGGATAAAACAACTTTCTGGTTTAAGATAGATTTCTGAGTTTATCGAGAGGAAGTGAATTCGAACACGAGAGTCGGTGAGGACTAATTTTGAACGGGGCGTGTCTACAGAGTGAAACGCAGTCTCGAGACTTACAGTGGAATCCTTTCGCCTCCAAGTTACACAGATGATGGCGTAGATGTCCTCATTTCCTTGATACTGTGTCAGAACGTTGGACGGGTAGAGGTAACCGGACTTGCTTCTCAAGTTCTACAAATGCTTTGCTTGGTAGGAAATTATAGACCGGCATTACTGTGAAGCTTTTAAGCGTGATGACCGCTTTTCTCGTCCCAGAATGCGTACAAGCAGATGTGGCTGCTCCACGCGCGTTTTAATATTATCAAAAGTAGCAACGTTAGATTTTTCACTAGGAATTATTAAGTTTTTCCTTGTCAGTGTTTCCAGATCAATCTAAAAATATAGACTTACTCAAATTTGTAGTAGCCCATGGGCATATGTTCAAAATTCGATGTCACATACTTCATTTTCACTAAAGTATATTTACTATTAATTTAAG